CCGGCGTGATCTCCGCGTCGATCCCGGCGGCGGCAGCCGCGTCGCGGAAGCGGAAGAAGCAGTCGGCTGAAAAGAAGAACTGGCTGATCGCCCGATCAGCGCCCGCGTCGATCTTGCGCTTGAGATTGTCGAGATCGGACTGCTGGCAATCCGCGTCCGGATGGCATTCGGGATAGCAGGCGACCGACAGTTCGAACGGCGCGACTTTCTTCAGCCCTTCGACCAGGGCCGCGGCATTGGCATAGCCGTCCGGATGCGGGGCGAAGGCCTTGCCCTGCTCGGGCGGATCGCCGCGCAGGGCGACGATATGGCGAATGCCGGCATCCCAATAAGCGCGGGCAATGTCGTCAATCTCGCCTTTGCTCGCCTCGACGCAGGTGAGATGGGCCGCGGCCTGCAGGCTGGTCTCGCGCTGGATACGGGCGACGGTGGCGTGGGTGCGCTCCCGGGTCGAGCCGCCGGCGCCATAGGTGACGGAGACGAAGCGCGGGCCGAGCGGCTCCAGCGTCTTCACGCTGTCCCAGAGCGTCTCCTCCATCTTCGCGGTCTTCGGCGGGAAGAATTCGAAACTGACCGCGATATCGCCCGCCAGATCCTCGAACAGGCGGCGTGCGGGGTCGGGAGAGGCGGCGTCGGCAGGCATGATTTCGGATATAAAGATATCTTTATATGCGTCAAGTTAACGCGAGGACGTCAAAATCAGGCGACGACCTTGAGCCTCTGCTCCGGCCGCTCACCCAGCCAGAGCGTCACCGTCAGCTCGCCGCCCTCGAGATGCTCGACGACGCGGCCGCCTAGCCCCGCCTCCTCGAGATATTTGAGCATCATCTCGTCGGTGAAGCCCAGGCGGACATGGGCGTTGGCGCTGCGCAAATCCTCGCGCTCGTGCGGCGCGAAATCGACGATGACGAGCTGCCCGCCCGGGCTCAGCAGCCGCGCCGCCTCGGCCACCGCGGCGGCCGGGTTCTGCGCATAATGGAGGACCTGGTGGATGATCACCGTGTCGGCGGAATCGGC